CCTTCTCCAGTCCATTTTACAGATGAGGAACTGAGGCAAAGAGGGTCAAGTGACTTGCCCAGGGTCACACAGCTAGTAAGTGTCTGAGGCTGGATTTGAACTCAGGAAAATGAGTCTTCCTGACTCCAAGCCCAGTGCTCTATCCATTGTACCACCTAGCTGCCCATCTTAGTAAATAACTCTTGGCTTTTCGGTCATGTCCAACTCTATCCTCCACTATCTCCCAAAGTTCATGTCCAAGTTCATGTTCATTGTTTCCATAATACTATCTGTTCATCCCATCCTCTGCTCTCCCCTTTTCCTTTTGCTATCACTCTTTTCCAATATCAGAGTCTTTTCCAATGAGTCCCATCTTCTCATTATGCAGCCAAAGTATTTAAGCTTCAGCTCCAGAATTTGACCTTCCAGTGAATAGCCTGAATTATTTTCTTCAAGTATTGACTGATATGGCCTCCTTGCTGTCCAAGAGACTCTTCTCCAGCACCACAATTCAAAAACATTGGTTCTGTGGTGCTCAGCTTTTCTTATAGTCCAACTCTCACAGCCATACATTGCTACTAGAAAAACCATAGCTTTGACTATATGGACCTTTGTCAGCAAGGTGATGTCTCTGCTTTTTTAGTATGCTGTCTAGATTTGCCATAGCTTTCCAAGGAGCAAGCATCTTTTAATTTCATGGCTGCAGTCACCGTCTGCAGTGATCTTTGAGCCCAAGAATATAAAATCTGACACTGCTTCCATTTCTTCTCCCTCTATTTGCCAGGAATTGATAGGACCAGTTGCCATGATCTTAGTTGTTTTATTTTTTTAATGTTAAGCTTCAAGCCAGCTTTTGCACTCTCCTCTTTCATTCACATCAAGAGCCTTCTTAATTTCTCTTCACTTTCTGCCATCAGAGTGGTATCAGCAACCTTAATTCTAGTTTTTGATTTGTCCAGCCTTTCACATGATGTATTCTGCATATAAATTAAACAAAATGACAATATACAGCTTTGTCATACTCCTTTTCCAATCTTAAGCCAATCAGTTGTTCCATGTTTGATTTTAACTCGCTTCTTGGCCCGAGTACAAGTTCCTCAGGAGACAAATAAGATGATCTGGTACTCCCATCTCTTTGAGGCTTGTCACCTTGTGTTGTGATCCACACAGTCAAAGGCTTGAGTGAGGTCAATGAAGTAGAAGTAGATGTTTTTTTGGAATTCCCCTGCCTTCTCCATAATCCAGTGAATGTTGGCAATTTGGTCTCTAGTTCCTCTGCTTCTTGGAAAACCAGCTTGTTCTGGTAATTCTAGGTTCACATGTTGCTGAAGCCTAGCTTGCATAATCTTAATTAAGCATAACCTGGCTGACATGTGAAATGACCACAATCATTTGGTAACTTTGAACATTCCTTGGCATTGCCCTTCTTTATGATTGGGATGTAAACTGATCTTTTCTAATCCAGTGGTCAGTGCTGAGTTTTCCAAATTTGCTGGCACATTGAGTGCAGCACTTTAACAGCATCATCTTACTAAAAGCTAATTAAGTCTGACTCACATATTAACTGATGATCATGGAAACAACCATAACTGGTGGGGATTTGTGAAAAAATACTCCCGGATCTTCTTGGGGTTGCCCCTAAACCCTAAAGAAAGTGGAGTTGGGATAAGTAGCTCCATAGCATATATTAAATTAACAAGTCTGAACGAGCCTCTAAGGGCAATGCAAGGAAACCTGAATCTAGAGATCTCCTGTAAAGTTACTGAGATTTCAAAGACTTGGTACTCATCGCTTGGGTTTTGGGGGAAGGATGAATTTTCTACTTTCATCTGACCCTGTGGTTGACCAGTGCTGAAAGGACTTGCCATCTTAGAATGACATGGCAAACTTGAAATGATTCCTGTATCTTTCTGACCCCAAAACAGTGGCAAAGAAGTGGGGTCCTGCTTCTGCTAAAAGAAAGTTTCCAGACTAGTCTCTCTGTCTGTCCAGCTGGCAAGGCTCTCCAGTGAGGGTTGGTGAAGGATAAATAAAGATAAAGCATTCTCTGTCTCTCTCTCTCAACCCATCATGTGGCACCTAATGCCTAAGGGCTACAACTAAAGGAGCTTATACATGGGTCCTTGGAAGCCCTTGCCCCTTATATTTTCTTACAACTAGGTGGCCTCCTTTCAGCCACTAAAGTGATTTTCCTAAAACACAGGTCCTAGCATGTCACAATGCCCCTCTACTCAAACTCCAGTGGCTCCTTATTGTCCCCAGGAGCAAATACAAAATGCTCTGTTGGCTTTCAAGGCTCTTCATAACCCAGCTCCCTCCTACCTTTCCAGTCTTCTTACACCTTACTTCCAGACATGGACTCTTCAATCCAGTGACACTGGCCTCCTGGCTTTCCATGATCAAGATACTCCATCGCTTGGATCAGGACATTCTCTCTGGCTGTCCCCCATGCCTGGAGCTCTCTTCTTCTGCTGCTCCAGAAGAGCAGCACCTCTCTGGCTTCCTTTAAGTCCCATCCACTTTCTACAGAAAGCCTTCCCCCACCCCTCTTAATTCCAAGGCCTTCCCTCTTAATTATTTCTTATTTATCCTAAATATAGCTTGCTTTGTTTGTATGTTTTCTCCTCTATTGTAAGTTCCTCGAGGGAAAGGACTCTGTTTTGCCTCGTTTTTTTATCCCCAGCGCTTTATACAGTGCCTGGCATGTAGTAGGTGCTTAATAAATCTTTATTGATTGATTGACTGATTGGCCTTGTGAATGTGAGAAATATGAAAGTCCTGAGACTGGAAGCTCCAGCTGACAGTAGGAGAAGTGGTTGACAGTAAGAGAAGCTTCTGTATTGGAATGGATAGCCACAGATCAGAGAATTATCGCAAGCCTGGCCTGGATTTCACCCATATAGCAAGTGTTTTTGGACATATTTCAGGCAAGCTGAAATGTAAATTGCCTGACCGGCAGTTTTATAAAATTGCTTTATGTTCTGATGTGGCTTAAATATTAACTTTGCAACTCATCCTTTAAGGGTAAGTTACTGAATCCTCTTAATTTATGCTCTGATTCTTCCATGCTTAGCATGTTTTTCTATGTAGGAATAAATTATCTGTCCCATACCTGATTCCTAGTGTATGTTGAATATCTTTTTTTATTTCTCTCTTTTGAAGGAAACCCTAGACTTGAGCCATAATTTTTATTACAATTAGCATCATCCCTATGACACCGAGGAGGGAACTTGTTAATGAACTAAGAAATATGAGAAAAAGTCTCTTCCCCTCATGGTAGTGAGCAGCTAGGTGGCGCAATGGATAGAGCAGCAGCCCTGGAGTCAGGAGGACCCAAGTTCAAATCCAACCTCATATACTCACTAGCTGTGTGACCCCTGGCACCCACCAGTAGGGGACAGCACATAATGGCAGCTAGGTGCCACAGTGGATAGATAGAATGACAGGCCTAGTTAAGACTCATCCTTCTGAGTTCAAATCTGGCCTCAGACACTTCCTAGCTGTGTGACCCTGGGCAGGTCACTTAACCTTGTTTGCCTCAGTTTCCTCATCTGTAGAAATTAGCTAGAGAATGAAATAGCAAACCACTCCAGTGTCTTTGCCAAGAAAACCCCAAATGGGTCACGAAGAGCTGGACAAGGGGGCAGTGCATCAGGGCTCATGGTAGGGAAGGGGGATGAGCAGAACACATCAGAAGAGGAAGGATGCTGGAAGAAGGCCCACCTCCATCATGGAAGTTATCAATGCCTAGAGAGGCCCCCATTGTGAATAAAGAAGTTTATTATCCTGACATGGTGACACTGGGGGAATGAATGTCTAAGTAAAAAAAAAGGAAATTGAAGGCTTGTAGGTTACTATGGCCTTCCCATTACCGCATATGTTTATCATTTTTTCCTTTTAATAAACCATTCATCTCTTACGTTGTGGCCAATGTACTAATAAGTGGCAAAGGGAGTGCCAACCCACTGTGCCCATCTGATGAATTTTTCTAGGCTTCTAGGCCTCACATCAAAAAAAAAATCAATGATTCCCTTATAAAGTCACTGAACTTGCTGCAAAAGGGACATTGCACACACATCATTTGTAAAGATCACATAGAGAATTTCAGAGCTGGAAGGAAACACAACCTACATGAATAAAAGAGTGGAGACTGGATCTTATTTATCTCTGTGTCTTCCTCAATCTGGCTCAGCACTCTTGAGTATAGCAAGTATTCAATAATATTTGTTTGAACAAATAGATGTCTCCATGCAGTTGCCTGGGTGTCTAGGAATACAACCTACATTTTTCTGGTCTGGTCTAACCTCACAAAAAAATCAGAGAAACATAGTGGAACTGCCTCAGATTTACCAGGTTCAAGTTCACGAAGACAACAGCACAAAGGCAACAACTGTCTCCTATGTTACCCATCCTGTTGGTATTAAATTCACCAGTTTCCATTAATACACCAACTTTTAAAAACTCTAAACTTAATGCAGGTGGTTAGTGGATCTTCGATCAGTTGATTACCCCCAATCCTATACCTAGGTGCACATAATAAAAGATAATGAGGTACCGATACATTAAAGTATCGACACTGTCAACATCTTTCTCTGACTGAATTGGAAGGGACAATCCCATTGTTGATAATAATAACAACAACAACAATAATAATAATAATAATTAACATTTATATAGTGCTTACTCCTTGCACGCACTGTGCTAAGCCCTTTAGAATTATCATCTCATTGGATTCTCACAACCCTGGGAGGTACATCCTATTGTTGTCCCCATTTTATAAGTGAAGAAATGGAGGCAGATGAAGGTTAAATGATTTGCCCAGGGTCACCAGGAAGACCAGCACCTCTGGTGTGAGGGCCTGCATAGCCTTTTTCAGGACTGCTCAACCACCTTTCACCCAACTCTCACCTATAGCATGAACAGCAGCCACACCCTGGTAAACCATCATGGAAGATGGGCTAAACTAGGCTGAGGGTAACCAACCGACCTCAAACCCCTCAGTGAGTTAGGGGGATATTTACCCCAAGCACATGAAGACTTCTCCTGGTGGAATGGGCAAATGAGAACAATTTGTTCCAAAGGCCACGAAGGCTGCTTAGAGCTTGGTCGGATATGGAAGACACCAAGGTCATCCACTGCATTCCACTTGTCCTGATTTTTGTCCTGTCACTGGAGTTTGATGACTCTGGAAGAGAAAGTGAAGCTAATGACTTTGTGCAACTCTATCTCACTTAAATCCAATTCACAAGCAAGTCAAGGCACTGTCTGTGAGGTCATTGGGCCTCTTCAAAAACAAAGGACAAGGGGCAGCTAGGTAGCGCAGGGGATAGAGCACCAGCCTTGGAGTCAGGAGGACCTGAGTTCAAAACTGGCCTCAGACACACTCACTAGCAGTGGGACTCTGGGCAAGTCACTTAACCCCAATTGCCTCACCAAAAAAAAACAAAAAACAAAAAACAAAAAATACACAAAGGATAAACAAGTATATGAAACTGAATTTGAATTCAGGACTTCCTGACTTCAGGCTTAACATTCTATTCACTATATCACCTAGCTGCCTCATAAAAAGGAAGCTGAAAAGGGAGTAGGGAGGGTGAGGAAAATACTGTTGGGGTCAAGGTACCGCTGGGCCAGAGGTATCAAATACACTTGCAGCCTACAACACTCCCAAATGTGGCCTGACCTAAATCAAAATGTAATTGGGAAATATTTAACAAAATAAACAAAAATACAATAAAACATAGATAATACTAATATGCAGTTTTCTAAGCTTTCTCATATTACCCACAGAGACCTTTATGTGCAACGTGGTGATGGGGGCAAGTTTTCTGTCTTCTAATATGGAATCTTTAGAAGCAGAAGCCCCAGGAGTCGGTCACAAGCCATGGATTGATTGCCCTATTCATTCTTTTAAATTTCCTCTTTCACACCTACCCTTCAGTTTCTGCTTTGTGATCGTTAGTGGGGTCTAGAGAATATATGCAAGTGTCTTTTTGTTGGTTTAAAATGAAGGCCCAGAACAAACTCTGCAGCTATATTTTGAGTCTGGGGGCTTGTAAGATGGGGCCCTGTGGGTGTTTCAGACACATGGTTTGACTTGAGAAAAGAATCCAATGAATGAAAGTTTAATAGAGTTGTTAAGTGGCTCAAAATGCGCTCCCCCTTGGAGTGTCCTGTGACTGTACTGAGTATGAGAAGCGGAAGTCCCTTAAGCATTGACTCTATTGCCTCTGCAGATAGAAACGCTGCTTCCAAATGCACGGCGTTCTGGGCCTTCTCATGCACGCGAAGTGCATCTAACATTAGTTAATGTTAGATGAGCGAAGTGAATTTTTCACTGAAGCCTTCATACTCAAATCTCAGAATAAAAAACCTGCTTTACGCTGATATGAACCTTTGTCCCAGACGACAGCAGTAACAAATCTGAAAGTGTAACTGATACTTCAATAATAAGAATTTAAAGACTTTAGGGCCAAAAATATCCAAAGTTGTCAAGCCCGGCTGGATTACCTACTCTGCCACAGGGGAAGTATCAGGAACAGACTTGGCCTGAACTCGAGAGCAATGGTTTAGACATGTGCATGGTAACATTGTCCAAGTTAAAGCTTAGGATATGGTTGATGCCAAGTATAAGTTCATATCACCTAGGCACCCTTCCCCCATACATATACACACACATATCCCAAGTTGTACAACAGATCTCCAATACATTTTTCCCCATAGATTAGTGTTAAAAGGAGTTCTTAGTTTTTTCTAGTACGATTGGCTTCAACTGTATTTAGGGCTACTTAAAACACAAACACAGTAAGAAGCAACTGGTCAAAATTGTAAAAAAAAAAAAAAAAAGTTAACTATTTTTACATGTAATTGAGAAAAAATAAACTATTAAAATTCAAAAAATTAAAAAACAAGAAGTACCTGGCTTCTCTAAGAAAATCCTAGCTAAGCTGTTCAATGACAGCAACCTTATAGGTTAGAAACGCATTTATAGGCTAGACTGGGAATCTAGCTACCCTTCATTCACTCATTCATTCAAAAAAATATATATTGACCATCTACTAAGTTCTAGGTCCTGAGACAAAGACATAATCTAGCACTCCTAAAATTTTCCAACTTTGTCTAGATCTTTACTTTGGGCTCATTACAATCTACTTTGCATCATGCTTACTTGTATGTGTAGATACATATGTAGACATGTATGTGTATATATAAATGTATGCACATATATACATGCATGATTATTTCATCCCCCCCCCCTTTTAGTGTATAAACTCTTTAAGGATAGGGACTATGCCTTCCACATAGCTGACACCTAATGAGCAGAACAACTAATAAATTCTTGATGTGTCTTAATGATTATTTCATCCTTCAAATGTGAATGAATGAATGAATGAAGGGTGATAAATTCTTTGATTTTAGCAACCCTTGAAACAAAGAAAATAAACAAAATGACCTTTGGCATAACAAATAGCCCATTGCAACATCAGAACAAAAGAAGGAAGTCATGCCTCCCCCCCTCATTGGGCAGACCAATTGGTGGCAAACAAATTCTATGGGACAGGCAAGCATGGATGAGATGAATGAGATGGGTAGGGTCTGCATCACTGAAGGAAACCCACATCGACAAGGTGATGTACTTATTTTAGTATTGAGATTATATGAGGAAAAAACCTTTCCAACAGTACTATTCAGAAGTAGAATGGGTAGCTGTGTGACCCTGGGCAAGTCACTTAACCCCAATTGCCTCACCCCTCAAAAAAAAGAAAAAACCAGAAGTAGAAAGGGCTGCCTTGGGAGATAGTGGGTTCCCCCCCTTGTTGGATGTCTTCAACTAAGACAACCATTTGGCAGGCTGTAGTAGAGGAGACACTTGTTCTAGTATGAGTTAGACTAGATGGCATCTGAGGTCTCTTTATTTATTTATTTATTTTTGGTGAGGCAGGCAGGGTTAAGTGAGTTGCCCAAGGGCGCACAGCTAGTGAGTATGTGAGACCGGATTTGAACTCAGGTCCTCCTGACTCCAAGGCCAGTGCTCTATCCACTGTACCATCTAGCTGCCTCTGAGGTCTCTTTCAACTCTGAGACGCAATAAATGGTTTAAATTACAGTGTAGCTATACATTTATTTAGCATTTTTTTCCATTTTTATTAACACTAACTACCTCATTTTAAAAAATATATAGCCATTGAGGCCAAGAGATTTCTTGCCAATATGTAAACCTAACATGAAAATTTCCTTGAACCAGAGAGACCAACCGACTACCAAAAATTTCACATGAACCTCAAATTAAGAGACTCCTCAGCAAGGTCTTTTTGCCTCCCTAGGGCGGTTTCCTCATCTTTAAAATGACTTCTAAGTTTCCTTTCTACTCTAAATACTGTGACTCTAATTTTGAATAGAAATGTTCCTCCACCACGGACCATGGTCTAGGTAAGATCTTTATTTGGTGGATAAGAGATATGGAGGGGAGCGTAGAGATTATGTCTCCCCCAGGCTACTCAGATTAGGAAGGAGAAAGTAGGGGCCAGAGAATCCACTCAATAAGCATCTATTAAATACCTTCTGTATACCAGCTAAATGCTGGACATACAAAGAAAGGTAAGAGACAGCCCTTGAGGAGCTCACAGCCTATTGGAGGAGACAACATGAAAACAATTATGTATAAACAAGCTATATACAGGATCAGATCAAATTGTGTGTGGGTGTGTATACAAACACACAGAGGATGGGAACCCCAAAAATTGGGCCTCTGGCTATCAGATTTCTGGTTAGAACCTAACATGGGTTGTGGTGGTGGTGGTTGTTGTGGTGGTTGTGTTTGTTGTTATTGAGTCATGTCCAACTCTGTGACCCCACTGTGGGGTTTTCTTGGTAAAGATACTGGAATGGTTTGCCATTTCCTTTTCCAGCTCATTTTAAAGATGAGGAAACTGAGGCAAAACAGGGTTAAGTGACTTGCCCAGAGTCACACAGCTATTAAGTATCTGAGGCTGGACTTGAACTCAGATACCTCTAACCCAAGTTCAACCTGTTCATACCATAAGGAAAAAACATGACTATATCAATTCAAGCAAAACATCAAATCCTCAGAAGGAGTGAGGCATCTTCTATGGGATCAACATAATCAGTCAATCAAGTATTAAGTGCATACCATGTGTCAGGTACTGTGGTAGGTACTGGGGACACAGGCACAAAAACAAAGCATTCCTCACAGAGAGGAACTCGTATAATGGTAAAGACTTCCACTCTAAGCAGTAGAACCAGCAATTTCTGCTTTTCTTTGCCCAGTAATCCACTTGTTTGCTTCTGTCAAAAGCAGGAAATGGAAGCTAGAGTCCAGCAAGAGAATTGAGCAGCGTTTCTGAAAGTCTTAAGTTTTCACTTCAAAATACTGGCTTGGGTAGAATTTTTATTTTCAGGTGTACTAACTAAAGTTAAGTGGAATAAAATGTATCATTTCAAACACCTCATAGCATTTTTGGTGTGGAATGTTGAATGAACTTTCCTTAGTAGGATGAGGAATTTGGACATTTCTGTTAGGCTAGAGAAGGTGTAAGCTTCCCAACCTGGGCCTGAGGAGAGGATCTGTGTAAACTGATAACTTGGGTGAGTGAGAGATAAACATTATCCCTTTAACTATCAGATAAGCTTCTACTTGTTATACCACACCTGTTCTCCTCCTTATCTGCTCAGTGGATGAGGGGAAAAGTCACTTTATGTGTATACCCTTTGATCCAGCAATACCACCACTAGGTCTGTATCCCAAAGAGATCATTAAAAAGGGAAAAGGACCCACACGTACCAAAGTATTTATAGCAGCTCTTTTTATGGTGCCAAAGAATTGGAAATTGAGAGGATGCCTATCAATTGGGGAATGGCTGAACAAGTTCTGGTATATGATTGTAATGGAATACTATTCTACTATAAGAAATGATGAGCAGGTGGATTTCAGAAAAACCTGGAAAGACTTACATGAACAGATGCTGAGTAAAGTGAGCAGAACCAGGAGAACACTGTATACAGTAAAAACATGGTGCAAAGATCAACTATGAGACT